CTTAAATGTTTCAGATTATCAAAGAAACCCTAGTATTAGACAAGCATAACTTGAGTAAATACAATTTTTTCCATTTATTAGGGCAAAAAATCTCTCCAAATCCACCTGTCTCTATGTGACATTGCTCCCAAACCTAAAACTGGTTGGATTAAGGTTCAGGCTTTGACTAGACCACTCCAAAACCTTTATCTTGGTTACTTTTCTGAGCCACCCAGAGGTTGACATGTTGGGCAGTGGCTCTCACTGTGGTTCAGTGAAGTCCCAAAGCCAAAAATATCGCTTTGTAATTCTTTCCAAACTGATACATGTCAATGACTTTGTTTCTCATTTCTTCTTGGGTTTCTTTACATCATGACATGATGTGTTATTTCTGGAAGCAGTTTGTGCAACAGATTTCCAAGGTTGATCTTAAAATACTCTCTGTTTGACATCTTCTTTGCAGCTGCTGTTAAAAGCACAGACCAGCGCCTTGTTCAAAGGGAAAAAAGAAAACTATCCCTTCAGTGTGTGCAGACCATTCGCAGACACCAGGATCTGTAAGACTACAATACTATTAAAGTGGACTTACATGCATAAAATAGATATGACTACAGTAGTTTATGTGATTTGAAATGGAAGACCGAATATATAACACTAATCTGCTACAGTTTGACGAATGCATGGACTTGTTTGCTGGCAATTATTGTTGTTTCTGCAAACCCTCTCCTGCTGCTAAATATATGATGGACTGAGCGATTGCTGTTCTCACTGTTGTCACTTTGTTAAGGTGCAGAAGATATAAGCATCAAGGTGCTTCAGATGATTCAACATGAGAAAGTCAAGGTAAATTATAATATTAGTATTTAGTCAGCACACTGTCTTTGACGTGTGTGTGGTTGTCTGTTTGTTTGTTTTTTCACCTTCTCTGATCTTTGAGCGGGACCTCCACAGTACAGCGTACCTGTGGTGAAGTACGACAGGAACGGGTTCAGACCTCGACTCCGGCAGCTCATCTTCACCCAGGAAGCTGCCTACCTGGTGGAAGAGGCTAAGATCAAACAGCGGATAGATTACAGCTCACTGAAAGGTAACAAGTGAGGAGATAAAACAAAGAAAACATTGTTATCTGCAGTATATAAACATACAGTTATTTTATCAGTATTTTAAGGTTAACCTTGTTTTTGCAAGGTGTGTCAGTCAGCAACCTCAGTGACAACTTCCTGATTCTTCATGTCACGTGTGATGACAGCAAGCAAAAGGTACCTGCACACCGCTGTCCACAGCCATCTTAAAAGTTTTAACATTATACCGTTTATACTCTACAGATGGGCAACCAATAAAATGAAAAACAAAACTCAAATGTTAAACCCTAAAGTGAGTGGATGTGGAAGATCATGCTGTAGGGAGGGCCAGGGAAGGATTACCACAAATCAGTACAAAGTTGTTCTAAGTGGTCACTGTTACCCTTTGGTCAAACATTTCTGTACTAAAGCAGTGGTCTCTTCCAGCGTGATAATGCCTTCAATCAGTAGGACACAAGAGTTCGCTAAATAGCTTAATAAATATGAAAATGATGTGAATCATTTAGTGTCTGGACTTCACAACCGCTGGCACCATTATTAAAACACCAAGGACATTTAAAAACATTTTGGAGTGTTTTTCTTATAATAATCACTTTCAGGTCTTTAAATTTAAGATGAAAAATATCCAGTATATGTACAAAAGTACTGGGCTAACTACACATTACAGCTTGAGGAGCCATGGAAACCCTCACCATGAAGCTCCCAGTGCAGTTTTTGTGCTGATGTTAATCCCAGAGGAGGTTTGGAGCGTTGCAGTTACTGAGTCAGGAGAACAATGGCAAATTTTATGGAACACGAGCCCCAGCAAACCTGCTCTGTAACTTAATACAGTCTGTCATGGATGAGTCACTGTTGATCCTTATGGAAGCTTGTTTCTGCATCTGAATTTCTTTCTTTGACTCAAAAAACATTTTTCCTACCCGTAAGTCATAATTTTGTATTACTATCTCATAATTTTAATGTAAGAACCCAAATTTTTATGGTTTTTGTCTGTTTTTTGGGGTCAGTTTAAAAAATTTTTCTCAGTAGTTTGAGTTAGTAATTCTCAGCCCAACACTCAGCCTAAATTTGAATTGGTAAGTCAAAATCTTAAAATAACAATCTGAAATTTGGACTTTTCAGTGACAAAAACAAACATTCATATTTCCTAAATGCTTCCACTTTTGTTTAAATACTTAATAAAGCTGATCTTGGGATATCTAGGAAGAAAGAAATTTCACTACCTGACTTGTTACAATGGTTGGGTCCTATTATCACACAAGTGTCACACTTGAATTCAGTGAGCTCTTTAAAACAACCTGTTATTTCACAAATGTTTGTAAAAGCTGACTGTGGTAAAGGAACTGAAAACACCTGAATTCAAAGATTAAAAGGTGTGGCCCGGTACTTTAGTCCATATAGCGTACGTCAAATATGTCTAAAGAAACTGTTGGAGAGACCATAAATTAAAGCAGTTCATGTCTGCCATTTAGATTCCAGAGGAAAAGTCACAACGTTTAACAGAGCACTGATTTGTCCTTTCAGGGTGATCTGGTTCTGCAGTGTGACTTCCTGTTTGAAGCCTTGACTAAGCTGAGTGTTATTGTTAACAAGCAGAACTGCATCCACGTGGTGCAGGGCAGGTACAGAGTCTGCATCGTGTGTGGCAATATTTGAATTTGAAATATGAAAGTGGTAAAAATCATAAATAATAAAAATCATAAATAATCATAAATAATTATATATATATATTTTTTTAAATGCAGCGTGCGGTTTGACATTCAGCCGGGCAGAGAGGGGTTTGTCGACTTCAAGAGTGGCCAGGAGTCGATGGTCTACAGGGCAAAGAACGGCCATCTGATGGTGGTGAGTCTGTAATTCAGACAATGACAACTTATTACTGAAAACACGAGCAACTGACTGAGCTCTTTGTGTTTTTAGGAGTCAACAAAAACCAAGTCAAGATGAAGATGCCAGTGCTGTGGGATTAATGGTGCTCCTTAAGCCTCAGAGTTGCAACAGCCATGCTTACCCTATAATCCTGCTCAGTGGCTATTTACATTATTAAAGGCAACTTTATACTTTTGCATCTTCATTAAAATGTTATACAATGAAGTATATTCTGTTATTACCCAAATGCTGCCAATAACTTAGCTGTAGAAAGTTCTTACTTACAATGTCAGCAGCTCTCCTTGTTCATGATATTTTGATTTGAAATAATCTCTATGTAAACAAACAGATTCATGTATGTACACTGTATTATATATACAAAATATTCATAGAATTACTTGATAACAGTAAAGAAATATATGTGTGCAAAGCCATGACTGTAACATTTATAATACCTCAGTCATGTTGTACCTTTATATTAAAACATCCTTGTTGTGGCAATATTGTCAGATTATGGTTTAGTCTAGCAGAGGAAACTCCAATGAATTGTGCAGATTATGTTTATGTAGTACATGCTGCTATTACGCAGTTCTGAAGTACATTTACAGCACGCTAACTCAGTCAATGCAGTCTCAGATACGAATTAAGCCACTCTCTAACCTGTTTTTCTTAGATATGTTATCAACACAATGATAACATCACGCAGACTGAAGAAGTCTAGGAGGCCACTGGACCAGCTTGACTTCCTGGTCATTAATGTGCGTCAGTGTGATAACTCCAAAGGCCGGAGCTCCCTCTACTGGAGGACTCATGACCCTACAGCAGTTTTACAGCTACTGCGTTTATAGTGGTCCCTCGCTATAGCGCGGTTCACCTTTCGCGGCCTCGCTGTTTGGCGGATATTTTGTGCGCAATTTTGCATGCTTTTTCTTTCCTTTTCTTTCCTTATTTTACAGCGCTTTGTGTTCTGCGTCCTGATTGGCTGTAGACCACTGTCAATCAATCTCGTGCCGTGTCTCCTGCACAGAGCGCGTTCAGCTTGTCAAATTTACATAAATCTTTGATCGCTAGCAGTGTGACTCTGAAGTGCTGTACTGTGTGTTTGTAAGTTTTCTCCCCAACAAACACAACAATGTCGATGAAACATTTTTGCACCGTCAAAGGCGCCTGCGGGTGTTTTTGGTTTCATTCTATAATACTGGACTTAATTTTCTACAAAGGTTTGAACTTTGAGAGTGTTTAAACAAGAGGGAAAAGCGTGAAAATGTTCATGTCTGTCTGAGAAAAGTGCATAAAGTGTGTAGTGAGGGGTTTTACAGCCTTAAAACATCTATAATAATTGTAAAAAATAAAGTTGGCTACTTCGCGGATTTCACCTATCGCGGGTTATTTTTTTAGAACGTAACTCTCGCGATAAACGAGGGACCACTGTACTATAAAACTGTCTGTCTGTGAACTGTGGTTCAAGATTCTGGCACATCAGGATGCATAAAACTGTTTCAGTTAGTTAGTAAGTTAGTTTAATTGCAGGCTGTGATGTTCATGTGGGTTCATGCCCCCAAACCCAATTTTTGTATTAATCATTTGTAAACGTGTAAATATGAAATAAATAGCAAGATACCATTAGCAAACTCTTTGTTTATTCTCCCTTGATCAGTTATTTATTTTACTTTATTTCACGCCCTCTTGCAGAGGCACTTTGCCCCACCACTAGAGGCCCACACTAGAGAACCACTAACTAAAGTACTCTATTGTGTTTTATTGAAGATGGTTAACATTTGTTCTTTTATATCTCCATATCTGTAGATGCATTGTATCTTTAGCTAAATGTGACTATAAATCTTTTCAAGTGTGATTAGTGTGACGCGAGACATCGTTGAAAGGAGGCACGTGAAGGTTAAGCCTTAAATGTTATCCAGTTGTTGATGATTAAACAGATGCTTGTACACGCAGATTATCAAAGGTCCAAGGTTTAGAAAAATACTGAGCATATATATATGTGGGACAAAAGTAAAACAGCAGCCAGGAGTGTGTAGTCGAAATCTTGGCTGACAGTTTGGCTCTGTCATGATGGGAAGGTTCACAGCTGTAATAGTTGCCCTTCTGTTTTCATGCATCTCCAGCACATCAGGTAAGTGCACTGTATGATATATATATATAACAACATCATCAAGAAATGTGCGGTCTCTGGTTTTCAATCATGATGTAGTGAGTAGTAAATTTGCAACAACAGTTCTCACAAAAAAGCCTGTATATTTTAAATGATACAACTTTACTATAACAAAATAATGTAAAACTGATTAAAATATTTCGTGAATCCATCATAATCTTCGATAATGAGCCAAATCAGCTGAATCAACACTTTAATCCACATGTTAGAGTGGAATATTTTGCCTTTTCTTTCACACAAGACTCCGCACCTGAGCTTCTGTCATTTATTTTGAACAGGACAAACATGTGAAAAGAACTGTGGGAAAAACTTGGACTCCTGTTCATGCCACACTACATGCACATCTCTGGCGAACTGTTGCGCAGACTATAAAGAGTACTGCGTGGATATATCTCCATATTCTGGGTCTCTTTTCGGTGGCACAGATTTTATTATACTTGATGCAAGTTTCGAAACGGCTTCAGAGATTGAATGCAGGTAAGACATCTGTAGTTCTGTAGAGCTTATAAGTGAATATTTTATTCATGTAAAATAACCGAATCCAATGGACTTTCATGGACAACTGTGTTATTTATGTTAACATTAAAGAGTTTAAATACAGATCAGAACCCTGCTAATCATTCTTTTATTATGGCAGGTTCAATGGCAACATTAGTACGGTGGGATATGTGGATGACGGAGGGACAGGCCATTGTATCTCCCCACTGTTATATGAAACAGGATGGATTCCTTTTGAGATTTCATCAGACAATGGCACTACATTCACTAGAGCCGGAACTTGGCTTTCAGGTATAATACCCGCTAGATACTCTTACGGGTGTTATTAGAACCCATCAGTTTCCATTTGATATGGAGATCACATTAACCATGATTTTTTGTGCTGTTGCAGTTCATACCGGTAAGCTAGATTCTAAGTTCAAGGCGATTCTGGACAACTCAACAAAATGGCAGTACTATGGCACACCTAATGTTGGAGGCACTCTTGAGATGACGTGGAATACCTCTTTAGTAAGAGCAGAAAAGGTCAATATAGAGCTTTGGGGATACAGGGAAACAGGTTGGTGAAGTTCTCTACATACACTTTATAGCTCACATGAGTTTGTTGACTGGAGAAATACATGATTTTAACCACAGTGTTTCTCTGTAGGAGAGCCCTATACAGAGTACTGGCTGGGTGAATGGCATTATTTATACTCTCTTGCAAAGGATCATCCTAACAATGGCTCCTTCAGCTTTTTGCCCAAACCAGCAGAGAACAGCTTTTCATCTTCGGAGCTGGGCTCTGTGCGCGTCAGCTCCAGCAGCCATCCTGACGGCATGTGGTACGTGCAAACACTCTCTGTGGTATATAGGCGACTGTTTTAGTGATTAAGGATTTTCATCGTCCAAAGATCAATATTTATTAGCATTTAGTGTTCCACTGTGTGGCGAATGGGGATAGGTTCCTTTCACCCTCCTTCTCTAAATGTAAAAAAGCCTCTAGTCTTTGGTGTGTGCTTTCTGATATTTCTAAAGTAATGAATACACATATTATGTTTGATTATACACAAAAGAAATTATACATGGATATAAATTTCACCTCTGCCAAAAGAATGCCCTAAATCCTACAAGTTGAAGCCTGAAAAATATTTAAGTCTAAAAATTTAATTTCTACATGTAATATCTCTTTTACAATTGAGGTATACAAAAAGTTCTGTTGGTTATGCTCAGGAATGTCCAGGCAGCGTGGACCGAGGATCACGCTCTGGCGTGGCATCTGGAGGAGAATTTCAGGAAGGACTCAGCAGGCTGGGCCCTGGATAAATGTCTGGCATGGGACGAGCTGGAAAATCAGCTGCCCAACTTCCTCAGTGAGATCATAGACTGCCCCTGCACGCTGGCTCAAGCGAGAGCAGACACAGGCAGGTTTCATGTAAGTGAGAGGAGCAGAAAATAAAAACTTGGTTGCACACATTTGTAACAGCAATGCAAAAACTGTACTTTTTAAGTCCAACTGCTAAGGAAGAAGGGAACAACTACAGACAGTAAAAAGGAAGCACAATGGAGAACGCATGAGAACCTAACAGACAAAACAAAGAACACAGTCAAACTGAGGCTATAAATACACACGAGGTAACGAGCTAAGTGGAAACGGGAGGGAAACTAAACACAGCAAAACACAGTTAAGGTAAATAACAGGCAGGAAGTAAAACCAGAAACAATGCATGGGAAACAAAGTAAAACATGGGAATAAATAGAAACACTGAACACAAATGAACTGAACACCGGACAAAGAGATGAAGAGAGACACTGGAAAAAAAACCTCATGCATAGAAGCTGGAACTAAAAAAAGCCTAAAAAATATATTTGGGATTTAGGAGACTGAGAGATCATCAGCAGTTTAGATTTTTAATGCGGAAACTAAACGTGTATAATTACTTCACATGTCTATGATGATTATCAGTAGCTGTTATCGTTTGTAAATGGTCATTGCTTATCAGTTTATGAAGGTCTCTCTTAATTATTTATGAGAACATGAAAGCTGAACATTTCAGATGTTATTGCCTCACAAATAAGGATGTTATAATATAATCAAAAATTTGTATGGTTTTATTGTTCATGGAATAATTAAGCTTCTGGACTGGGTTACAACACCTCTACCCATCATCCACAGCACTTGCTATTTTCAAACGGGAAGCTGATCTCCTTACTTCAGGTTGCACAATAGAAAGTTATTCACAAACTGCAACATAACATCTCCATTTTTTCAACAATAAGCCAGACATGGGATATGTTTTCAAAGTTACAGTGAACACGTGATCACAGTGAATTGCACATTTGGCTGCCAGGTCACAGACATTTTATCTTTCTCCTCAGACTGACTATGGGTGTGATATAGAGAAAGGGAGTGTGTGCACCTACCATCCTGGGAGTGTTCACTGTGTGAGGGCTATACAAGCCAGGTGAGTCTTCTGGTTAGAGTGGTGCCCAGAGTTCAAGTATTTTAAACCCCACATATGCATTCGAATTAGGAAAATACGTAGCATATGTGCAGAATAAAGTTTTTTTTTTCATTTTAAAGTATTTGTTTTAAGTTAAAACAAATCATATAACAAAATAGGGCTCATGTTTTCACTTGTTTATTCTTATATTTGGGCTGATAGTGAGCAGTAGTACACTTTGTACTTTCATTACTATATATCCACTTACTGTCAGGGCGCTGCAGTTAAACATCATGCATTACACCAGTTAAGTTTTGATGTAGGTACTAACCATAGCCCATAACCCATAACTATAACTAACTAGCTAAATGACTAACTATAGTCCTACTCAATAAGTGCACAACAGTTGGGGTGACTGTGGCTCAGGGGGTTGGGAAGCGCATCTGTAACCGGAAGGTTGCCGGTTTGATCCACGGGCTCTCTGTCCTGGTCATTGTGTCCTTGGGCAAGTCACTTTACCCTACCGCCTGGTTTTGGCCAGAGTGGCCAATGGCGCGATATGGCAGCCTCGCTTCTGTCAGTCTGCCCCAGGGCAGCTGTGGCTACAACCGTAGCTTGCCTCCACCAGTGTGTGAGAGTGAATTCAGGTTAATTCTAATTATGTTAATGAAACACACACATGTATATCATCCTCGCCAGATACAGTCAGTGTCATGCATTCCGAGAATATAATATTTTCTATTATATCCAGTCTAGACTATGTCTAGTCTTTGTGGCAAAATCTTTATTTATGATCACACGCACACCTCTGTTGTACAGTAGCTTATTTTTGAGGTTACTTTATTGATCAAACATTGCAAACAAACTCCTACTCACTGTCTAACTTGCACTTGGTTTGTTTGAGTTGAGTTTTTGATTTTTCAACGTTGGATCAGTTTGTGTCGCTCCTATGCTCCTGTCTCATTAATTAGATTAGTGCAAAGTTTATTTCTGTTGGTTACATTTTTAAGATTGCACCTAAAAATACACAAAACGTTTTGTGTTTTGGCCTAAAACGTGGTCATCATACTGTATGTATTAGAGAAACATAGTCTTGCATTTGGATTTATAAATACATATTTAGAAAATTCTCAGAATTTCCTTTTTAGCTTATTATTTATTATGTAAAAAAATGCCAACATTCTAGAAAAAAAGTCAGATATGTTAAAAACAGTATCATGCAGTATTATGTTCTTGTTATAAGCTTGTGCTGCCCACTAGAATGACTGTGGAGTCTTGTTTAAATTGGGTTTTTTTGCCTTTGGCTTTAACAGATTTTACTGACACTGTTTGGGAAATTTGTCCACAGTCCCAAGTACGGAGCAGGACAGCAGTGCTGCTATGACAGCACCGGCGCTCAGGTCCTGACAGCAGACTCGATTGGGGGTAGTACTCCAGACCGAGCGCATGACTGGGGTTCACCTCCTTACAAGAAACCTCCTCGAATCCCTGGACAGTCTCACTGGATATACGATGTCCTCAGCTTCTATTACTGCTGCCTCTGGTCTGACAACTGCCATTACTACTTCAAACACCGGCCCTCCAGTGACTGCAGGCATTACAAGTCCCCCCAGTCAGGTGAGTTAGCCCTGGTATTACAGCGTGTTTCACAAGATTAGTTTTTAGTGTCTTTATTTTTGTTGTGTGTTTAATGTCAGCTGTGGTCTTTGGAGACCCTCACTTCATAACATTTGACGGCACTAGCTACTCCTTCAACGGCAAAGGGGAATACACTTTGGTGACATCAGCGGAAAAGCAGCTGACAATCCAAGGCAGAACAGAGCCTGTGACGGGTGAGCCAGTGAACTTTAACACTACCACTGTGAACAATGCTCCACAAATGCTGTCACTGAAGAAAGAAAACTATTACAGCAGTTTATTTACCTGATTATACCACTATTAGAAACAACCAACGCCACAAAGCTGTCATCTGTTGCTATGAGAGAAGCGTCCTCTGACATCATCGAGGTACGGCTGGTCAGTGGTAACAGTGACCTCGAAGTGCTGCTCAACCAGAAAACGCTCTCATTTACTGAGCAGACCTGGATGGACTTATACGGTGAGAAACTGATTTATCTTATTCCTCACGATGAAACAAACTGGTTTTATTTGGAACCCTTTTAAAAACTGTATTCACTCCAAACATTTTCTTTGGAAGTGAGTGTACTTGTGGGCTCTCGTACTCTTGTAACATTGTGTTTTCTATTGTGCAGCTGATTTTACTTTCAATATCAGTTTGCTAAAAACCCAGTTTTACGCTTTCTTCTGTAAAGATTTGAATTCACAGGTTTCACAAGGCGAAATCAAAAAGTTCATACTTGTGTGGAGAAAGGCCTTGAGGCCTTGCGTGTACAGCTATGACACTGACTATTATTATGAAGGAGCATGAGGTCTAGAGCCTGACCAGGAGCATCTTCCTTATTATTTCAACATGTACAAGTTTGTGAACAGTGAAACTGCTCCCCATTAGTGCTGACCTCTTCTGCAACGTCTTGACATATGAAGGACAACAGCCAGCCCAAATGTCCTCCACTGTGAGGCAAGCCATTGTGGAGATCTGCAAATGTGCAGTGGCTCGCAGTGCATTGAAACAGCAACGCCAACACAATATTTGCTCAGTAGATGTCCTTTAAAACTCATGTGACTCCTGTATGAATTTCATTTTGAACGGTTGGTGTTTGCATGGAGTGACTTAAATGTAAGAGGCTCAAGGCAACCACCTCGAAAGGGATAACAGCCATATACTTATATCAGGTGCTGTCTTATATGTTATATAAGTAAAGGCTGAGTACTTCTTCCAACACTGCAGAAATCTATAAAGCACTGTTTTAATGGCACAACCTGTCTTTTATTCTCTCGTAGGTGCATTTCTGTTTTCTCCTACGTCTACAAATGTGACTGTGATGTTTCCCTCTGGAGCCGGGGTGGAAGTCCGACAGAGAGAGGGAACCATGACAACCACTGTGCTCCTGCCAGAGGATTTTAGAGACGACACTCTTGGACTTTTGGGAAAGATGAATGGTGATGCCAAAGATGACCTTGTTTTCAGCAATGGGAGTGTTGTGCAGAACTCCAGCAATCCAGAGGAGCTGTTCAGCTTTGGGGCCAGCTGTAAGAAATCGCTAAACCTTTACATCACTAATTTGTGGGAAAACTGCTATTGTTACTTAATTTTTCTGAAGGAAGGGTAACAGTTGGCAAATCTAAGATTTGAGGTGGTTGAAAGACAGAACAGCACTGGTACAGGGATAGAGTGGTTTTCATTGTCGCCTCACAGAATGGAGTCCTGTGCAGGGTTTCCTCTGGGTACTCCAGTTCCTCCCAAAGATATGCATGTTAACGGGTGAATCTGTCCAAGTTGCACCCATGCTCTCAGCCTGTGACAGCGAGACCTTTCCACTGTGATATCACAATAAACATAAACATAAAACCTGAACATATCTTCCATGTCTGATAAGTGTGATCAGTGTCGAAGTGCTTTAAACTTGCCACAAGGGGGCAATAGCTGTGGTTACAACGATACTTCCTGCCCCTGTAGAAGAATGTGGAGATGCAGCTTACTGTCCTGACCGCTGTAAACACTTTCCTGAGAAGTTTATTGACCCAGTCAGTTTTTGTTAGGCAGGAGTGTAGAGTGCAATGCTAGCTTTCATGAAAACAGCAGAAAGCTTGGTTAGCAAAGTGCATCGCACATAGACAGATACTGACAAAGTAATATAAAAATAAATCTTTGAAATTTCAATCAAGGAAACTGGAACACAGACTTCTTTAACCGTCGGTTAGTGCAGTCAACTAGACACCAACCCTAATGTTTATGTCATTATTTAAAAGAAATCACCCCTGTTGCTTTGATGGCAAAATTAGGCAAAAAGACTAACCTCAAGTGGTCATCCAAGGAACTGCAGTTTTGTGGTAGGTGGTGGTTGGTTTCATTTTTAATCCTCAAAAGATGTCACATGAATTAAATCCATCAGTTTTTTTGTGATAATGCTCTCTGTCAGGGGTTGTGTCTGCTTTAATACTAAGAGCATGTTTTTCTATGATATTTGTGGTGGGAAATGAAGGTAAAGCTCTGTTTTTGTCTTACAGGGGCAATAGCCAATGAGTCTGCCTTGTTCACCTATGATTCAGAATACTTGTTGGAAACATATTACCGTGCCCCCAGACATGACACCAGTTTTATTCCAGTGTTTTTGGTTCCTGAGAGTCCAGATGATCCACTCGCCAATCAGGCAGCAACGATATGCTCCGGAGGAGGCTCTCAATTCTGTAGGTATGAGTGAAAACTTTGATTAGCCTTCTATTATTATAATAACAAACTGAATGTAAGTGTAATGTTTTTATGAAGCATATCTGCTTCAGATATGTCAGTAAATGTTAAACGGTTAAATAAATGTGTGCTAATTTTGCACATAAAGTTTAATTCGGCTACTAACACACTGATGATGTCACTCGTACAGTGCATCTATTATATTATCCTCCACTGGGTGTAAAAACTACACATTGACTGTCTGCCACACACAGGAATACATGAGAAATACTGAGTAGCGTTCTGGGAAATAATATGGTATATGGCACAACTTGTTAAAAGACATAAAATCTCATTTTCTGATCTTTGCTTATGTGCTGTAGGTATGACATCCTGGTAGGTCGTAGTCCAGAAATCGGAAATGCTACGAGAATGTCTTTCCAGAGTCATGTTTCTCTTGTAGAGGATCTAAAACCAGGTAAAAAGCTTTAAAAATTATCCAAAAGATATTCCATTGATTATTATGTACCACTTGGTATGACATTGTCATACTTTGCAGTATTATCCTGTGGGTGGCTTTCACCACCTGATAACGGGAAAAAGGAGGGAACCACCTACTTACAAGGAGCTAAGGTGCGGCTTTCCTGCAATGAGGGCTACAATCTCAAAGGATCAGCAGTGCGACTATGCCAGGCCGACGGCCAGTGGTCTGGAGAGGAGACAGGCTGCGTGGCTTCCAGTATGGACACATCATGACATCAATAAATGATGAAATCAATAAATAGCAAGATTTTGATCTTCAGAAATCAACACATGATTGGTGACAAATGTGTCCGTCTTTGAGCAGGAGTGTGAAATGCACAAAAATATCATCAAATGACTTTCATACAAGCGTGTCAAATTGGAAAAACAAAGATTTAGCACGAGGATGGATCTGATCAATCATATTACATGCCTAATTTTAAAAATTGCGTCACTTGAAAAATACCTCAGAAGAAGTAGCAGCACTCTTACCTTTTTTTTTTTTTTTTTTTTTTAACCACGGGCCTCCTTTTCATTACTTATTTACTTATTTAGTAGTTACAAACATGCAGTGCAAAGAGATGTTAAGAGACGTGCATCTTCTTACTTCTTTAACTGTAATATATTGCCGGTATTTCTTGTTTGGATTTGTACTATAAACCTTGCGAATAAGCAAAAAAAAGCTCAGCTTCAGCGCTCACACTTGCCCTGTAACTTCCCAAGGAAATATTGAAGGCTTTTAATTGTTACTCATAGGATTAGACATTCAAGATGTGCATTTATCAGCACCCAGTTCAATCAGATAATATGCAGGCAATGACCTAAATTTGATGAAAAACAGAAGTCTTCACAGAAAAGGCCGAATCAAAGAATGGGAAAGATTGTGCATGCATCCCGCTCTCAAAGGAATGAGGACTAAACCGAAAACCTAAATTAACAGCCCAGTTTTTTTCATAGAAAAAGTAAAAGCATCACATCACGATCCTCTTAGAGATACCAGTTTGAATTTTTCTGGTCACAAAAATTAAATATCTGGAATTGATTTTCCACCATATCAGCCATCAAAGGGGAGGGTGATTCTCCTCATCTGTACAGCAGCAGATATAATTTTTTTAGAAGAAAAATAAAAGCTGAGGACGAGCAATAACTCTAGTAACAAAAGAGATTTCACTGAACTCATATAATGCCTGTCAGGAGATTATTTTCTAACCTACAAACTTTCAAGGGCCAAAGGTTTACCAAAGCCATTAGGATTTATTGTCAGGCTGTAGATCTTTCTATTGATAATGACGCGTTTGGCCTGCTGATGTTCTTACATGAAAGGTCAGGGTACAGTCAGGATTTCTCATCTGTGACCTGCAAATGTCTGTAATAGCAATTTACAGAATAGTTGCTGAGATGCTTTTGTCTGAACAAAAAAGTAAAAACAACAACAATACAAAAAAGCAAAGTAGAAAAGTGAAGGAAATTTTGGCCAGTCTAGTGTTCAAGATCATCCTTTCATGCACCGTTGCATCATTTTCAGTGCTGTTGCTATTTTTAGATCTTTCCAAGAAGTCTCGTTGCACTTGATGTGTGCTGGAGAGGACAAAAAACAAACACACAAATATACAAAATCTGTACTGTGGACATGATACCCTCGTATAAGACTTGCACCCTTTTTTAAAAAAACATATAAAGATCATGTTTTCTACTTTGTTTTTCAGCTAAATCAAACTCCGAATCATGTGATTCCTGTTTGATTCTTACACACTTAACAATCAAGTCCCATTTTCCCCCATTTGTCCTGGATAACTTGACTCAGTGGGAAAAGAGTCTGATTTAAATCTGTGCCTTCAGGTAATACCGCAGGGATTGTGGCTGGTTCAGTCATCGGAGCGCTGACGCTAATTGTGATCATAACAGTAATCGTGCTCCACTCCAGAAAACGTAAAAGGTACAGTAAGATATTACTTAATCTTATTAGTGGATGAATAAAGTGATGATATGCACTCATTTTATCAGGATTATGTTATAGTACCTGTTGCTGAGTGAAAGTTGAGTTAACTTTTATTTTGTATCCCTTTCAATTTCAGAAAAGATGAACACTCAGCAGAAACGGAGAGTCATTAGAGCTTAGGGGAGAATCCACAATGACACAGCTATAAATGTAGATTAAACATTAATCTAGCTAAACAGGTAATGGGTAAAACATTAATCTAGAAATGGAAGAGGCTATGTCTATTTATTAACAATGTCCAAGACCAAGTCGACTGCATGTGAACTGTTAATACTATAACTGCTAGCTTCTATATACTTCCAGCCTCCTGTCTACACTAATAAGTTGACTGCTGTTGTCGTGATTCTGACTCCCAGGTATTTCAGGCAGAGCTGGACACACCAGGCTCCTGTGCTGGCTAAGTTAAATTATGGTAAACAAAAGAAAACGTTTGATGTGTTAAACAAGTGTCTGCCCCCATATTTAAGGCTTGATTAGCAGCACGTAGTTGTGTAACACTATTTTTAAGCACTCCCAATAAGATAACTTCTCTTCATAGTCGCTGAGTTGCTTTTGTTGCCTTTTGTTAGGTTTGTTTAAACAGAACTGCGCACAGTATTTGAAGCAGGGCTGGATGGAGTTATGTGTGTCCCCCTTATGGATGTCAGGTCTCTCCTACTGCCATTGCAAACTTTGGACAATTTAAAGTTTGTCAGTCCTCGGGCGACCAACTCGTTGGACCCGGGGCTCCAACAGTTGCTTTGTCTGTTGATTAGCTGCTCCTGTGGGAACAGGTTCCTCTGCACAGTTAGTATCTACAGTGCAACACATTTAACCTCCGTTTGTGTTGAAAAGTCAAAGAAAACGCTGCACTTTCTTGGTTGTGTATTTCTTAAATGTTAATAAATGCTCTTATACAGTTGGCTATTGTGTTTTTTTTTGTTTGTTTGTTTTTAAACTGTATTAAAATATAATATGAGAAGGTGAATCTTATTCTTGAATCAAACTAACCACAGTTTTTTGGCACACACACATGACTCAGACCCAACATCGCATTGTTACTGTGAGTTTCTGAGCCTTTTGCAGTGCTGTACATTTACACTGGTATGGTGAAAACAATATTATAACATGTTAAGAGCAACTAAATCCAAGACGTGGCATCTTACAGCTCAGGTGTATGCCTAAGAATGATTATATTTAGTCCTGATTGTTTTAGTCATACCTATATATGAGTACTAATAATAACTTTCTGTATTTATTCTCAGATTATCCATAAATGTAATGTCAACTTTCCAGTCCTTAAAATACACTTTAACTGCCCTTTGGGGATAATTTGACTTCTTGCTCTTAAAAGATTTCAGATATTTCCTCATTAATAAATTCATTAGTAAAGTTCCACCTCAGATGCCTGGTTGATTTATGAATCTCAAGCTCGGTTCATTATTTGTTCAGCATATCACCCTTGTTGCCCAGATTCATCTGTGCATGTGAAATTCCTCACAACCACTCCACTGCGTCAGTCTCTCAGTCTGTCGCTTTGTCCTGGCTGTAAACACGTCTTTAGTTTGTGGTAAACAACAGTTTGTCCCACACGTTTATCGCGTTATTGTTCTCGATTTGATCTCATCTTTTCAAGTCAATCTTGGGTTCAGAAAGTGAACGTAACACTGTTGTTTACTGTGTTACTCTGAATGTACGTGCTGTTCCCTCACGCAACCCAAGGCTGTAGTTTCTTTGGACAAAGAGCACCAGTATGTGACAAGACTGCAGAGGCCTCTGCTGAATAACCTTGCTTCCAGAGTCATTCACCAACAACTTGCCACAGACACTCCAGAGATATAAATACAAATGATTAGCATTATCCCCTCCATGTCCCGGGCAACAGAGGAGTAACTCCCAGCTCATCTCATAAATCATTCTCATCCTTTAGATCACTCTTACTGCCACGCAAGTGTTAAAATGACCCACCCGGGTATTTAAAGTGTGAGACTTGACCATGCAGATGCCAAAGAACGCCTTTCCTTGGACCTCCTGCACACTTTCTGTTAGGCAATAAAAATACAGCTGCTCTGTTGTTTGGATCTTGGTGATCAGACGAGACTTGTTTGTCACAGTGTAGTGATACTCTTTGCAGACCGGTTCCTTCATATTGATCTGATTTTCTAGGATATGGGTGAAGAAAATAAAATATTATCCCGTCCAATTTTCCGCCGAGATGTGGAATGGGATCCTTTTCCAAACTGGACACAGCCGAGCCGTATCTTTGCTCAGGATTTTGGTCTTCCACCCTTCCTGGAGCCCGGTGATCTGGACTGGCTAGACTGGGCGAAGAAGAGACTGGCATCTTTCTCATGGCCAGGGTACACACAAAGTCCCCTTCTCCCCCCATTTATTGGTATGCGACCCACAGACCAGAAGGGATTGAGACAACTGACAAGTGGAGTATCAGAGATCCAAACAGGGCCAAACAGCTGGAAGATTAATCTGGATGTTAATCACTTCTCGCCTGAAGAGATTACAATCACAACCAAAGAGGGCTATTTACAAATATCAGGTAGTGTCAGTTTTTTTGATCATAAGATAGATTTATGATGAAATACGTGATGAAAAGTGTAAAAAGCACTTTTGTTTGCTTCTTTTTCATTTCAAGGAACCCACGAAGAAAGACAGGATGAGCATGGACTGGTTTCAAGGTGCTTCACTCGTAAATACAAGTAGGTTGTCAGAGAACACTGTGAGTCATTTCTATTTATCTTTTCTTGGAAATTGGGAAATAGCTGTAGTGATTTACTAATCAATCAATCAATCAAGCCTTTATTTGTCACATGCAATGTTACACATACATGTTACCTGCAGTGAAAATTTGACCCCTTCCAACCATAAATGCATTACATCACATTGGGAAGACAGATCGGAAACAGGTAGGATGGTAAGAAAAACAATGAAATACAATACATGAGGGGAGACAAGGAGAAAAAGAACTCTCAGACTGAGCTCCTACAGGAGAGCAGTTTGAGAACAGAAAAAACCCACACCTCAGCACAGAGAAGCACATGAAACTTCATATCTTCACACCATAAAAACACGTGCGTATCGGGTATGGAGTTTGCCGATGTGGACAACAGCCCCATTAAAACATACATGCAAACATTAAGTATATAAGAGTTTTCCGTTCAGAGTTTTTATCATTCGAATGAGCTTGGAAGTCAATATTTAGTATGACTACTTTTATCTGTCTACACAGTTTGAAGCTTTCTGAGAATTTCTTTAAGCAGTTTTAAGGAACAGTTCTCCAGGCTTCTTGAAGGACATTCAAAGCTCTTCTTTGGATGTTGGCTGCCTTTTGTTCTCTTCTCTGTTAACATAAGTCCACACTGCTTCAATAACATTTAGGTCCGGGCTCTGGTGAACACGCAAATCAACAGAAGGATCAGTTGCACCCGTTAGGTCCTACGTTTCGTCTCTGCTGGATTTTCCCCCTGTTTCTTAAGGACATCATTTTCAGATACCGGTCTTCTGCTTTAGACGGTGTTTTATGCTTGCCACTTCTTCTTTTGTCCTCTGGTTTTTCAATTTCCTCAACTTTTTTAAGGACACACTGCACACTATAGGCTGAGATATATCAGCTTAACAAAGGAAAAACTTTGAAAGACCTTCAGAAACTATTGGATGGCTATTGCTCAAGACATACACAGATGATTCTGCAGCAATAATAGAGTTCATTGATATATATATATAGGTTGTAATCTATTTAATTAGTATCTCAAAATGTGTTAAACATATATATGTTACAAATACACTGTTCTGTTAGTTGCTTACCAACTTTCTTTTCATTTCATTAAGGTTGCCACAGGGGGTTGACTTGCAGCAGATCAGTTCATCCCTGTCTGCAGATGGAGTCCTGTCTGTAGAGGCCCCCGTGCCAGGGACCTCAAGCAGCATCCCAGGCAATGAGATTGTCATACCAGTTCAGATCAGACAGAAGCAGGATGAACAAAAGTGAAACCACTGAGCAGAACTTGATGTAGCTCAGGTTATGTGTAGCAACCTTTGCAGCACTGACCTAAAGAGAAAACGTAATTGTTCTAGCATTGCAAATTTACTAACCAGGCTGGTTTATTTCCACTAGAGAACATTTCATACTGTTCAACATAATAATGTGACACTTCATATGTTTTCAGATCAAGATTAGATTTATGAGTTTGACCTGAAACTTGATATGATGGTTTCTTGACGAAGCAGCATTATAAAGCTGTCCTGATATCACATAATCCCTAACAAATGAAAATAACAAACAAACATCATCCTCTGTTCATAAATGCATTCTTACTTTGGCAGATTGCAGGATGAAGAGAAATCAGTTTAATCTGTAGTAGCTGTGCTTCTTAAGGTATGCAGAAAATTCTTGTCAAACAGTCCACAAGAGGGCATTGAAGTTCTTCTTAGAGTCACATTAGGGAATTTATTTCCTCCTCATGAGACTTCTTTCATTATGTAGAGATTTATAAACAGCTCTTCTCTAAGACCACCTATTCAGCTTGGGTACGCCTTCCAGGTTAGAAGCTTGTTGCACAGTATTCGTTTTTAAAAAGATTTATAATACATACATAAAATAACGAGCAAAAGCTACAAATAAAAAAATAAAATAAAGCTATTCATCAACACTAAATGGAAAAAGTGATGTGTAATGTTGCTTTTCTTCTCCAGTCCATTTAAGATAGGGCCATGCCAACTTAGGGTGAGTCAGGCTCTCCCCAAACGTAGCCAAGATTTGTCTGCTATCTGGGACTCTTACGGCAATGTGGTGGCTCGGTGTGTGCAATTTGTGAGGCAATCTGTAGGGACATCCCCTAGCTCATACTGTGGGAGGACAGACTTACTTCTCTTTAATGGTCTACAGACCAAAAGGTTCATAGGAGACGAGCAGTGTTGCTCATAGACTCCATTTAAAATTCTCCATCAGTTCACAGCCTTCAGAGCTCGGCAATAATAGATCCCGACAACACGTGTGGTCATTGTCATGTTCTTGGTGATGTTGAGCTTGCTACAATAAATATTTCTGCACACATTTGGGTGTGACTTTTTTTTCCTGAGTAAGAGTTGCACAACACAGTGGCAGTTTCATCTTGACTTGAAAGTGTCTAAAAAAGTCTGTCCCCATGCTGAAGTCAAGGGTGACATCTACTGTTGAAACAGAATATTACATGACAAATGTGTGGGGTGAAAAAACAGAAGACACAGAGAAAGTACGAGATTTTGACATTTTTGTGAGCGTCATTTGATCAGTAGAAAGCGGCAAAGCAAGTGTCACAAAGAAACAGATGAATGGCAGTCAGCATGCTTTTTCTGAAATAGAAAATACTGTTAATTATATGTACTTAAGATACAAATTGTGAAAAGAACTGTCCTTTACTAGCATTTACTACCAATGTGTAAAGCCAGTTCAAAACTAGAGAAAGTCAACATTTAAAAAATAAAATTTAATTCGGCTGCCACTCAAATTTCTTTTTACCATTTTTTTTAAATACTTGAGTTTGGTTTCTGGCATGATTGTCTGTTAACTCCATCATGAGCATTATTGGAGGGAAGGGTAGATCCTGGGATTTACCCGGTGTTAATGCTAACATGTAGCTAATTTGGTAACAAAGTGCATGCGTAATTCAAATATTAAATATGATGCTAACTTTAGAAAAAACAAGCTAAAAACAAAATGTACTAACAGTTGAAACAAATCAGCCAAATCTTTGGGGTCTTTTACCAATAAACTCTAAAAGTTGTTTCAGCTGCTCCCTTGTCATAGGCATGCTTGATTTGGCAGTTTTACACCAGATGTCCTTCCTGACCCAACCCGTTTGGAGTTTCCAAAGTGGAAGTAAACTATTGACCTTTTGCTTTCTAAGCAAATTTATCAACCACTAAACCACTGGAAGCATCTGCAAATGAACAGGAAAAAATGTCTCTCATCTTTCACTTCTTTCACACATAGTGCATAATGCTAGCTAGCTTGATTAGCAAAGTGCATTCATAAACTGTATGGTTACAATGCACAGACACATTAGTGTTTAACAGGCTTATAAAAAGTAAAAACTTCCTGGATGGTCTGTAGCATGTATCAAGCCCTAGTATTAGTATAAAGGTCATAACACCTGCCAGTGTTAGGGCACGTGTCAGTCATTTGTTTTAACCATTTCTTTATTGTTTTTTCAGACCTAGAAGATAAAGGTACGCAAAACCAACTGAACAATGGTCGGAGGCTCACATATAAACTAGGATACATTATTACTTGAATTAAAAGTGTTCATAGTACAACTGTTATTGTTAATATGCAGGACCAAAAAGGATTCAATATAACTTTGCGATTAGACTGATAATTGGTAAGCAAATTTTCTGAAAGACACCTGCTCTATCTACATCTGCTGTATTTCTAAGTGTATCCCTTTAGCCACCTATTGAATATTGGAGGTGTCTCAGACTTCCAGGATTGTATCAGAATTTTGTTGGTGGCTGACAGCATGATAAGAAAATTACTTCAAAAAGTCTGTCCGTTAGGCTGAACAAACGGCTGAGACAAGGTTCCTAGATTGGTTGAAGATGTCATAGTTAAAGTGATCATCTCCACACTCTCTATCACCAGCCTTAGAGTTGTTATGAGGGGAAAACTACTCACAGAGGCCAAAACTGATTTCTTTACCAGGTGGTAATCATGCCTTTAAATGCTCTAAAGTTGAATATTTTAACACGGGAGCCCACGGGGATCGACTCACTTCTGGAGCCAGCCTCCAGTGGCCACTAGCGGAACTGCAGTTTCTGGCGCCTCTTCTCTGGAAGGTTGCCCCTTCAGCACCACGGAGAGGGACCCCCACCCACCCCCAAATCTATGCCCTCTGTCTCCCTCCAGCATCCACATGGAGTACTGGCAGGAATAATAGCACCCATCAGTGTTTTTCGTTACTCTACCTATACTGCAAATTACAGACAGCTACAGAATTGTTGCAACAATTAACATAATTAATCATTTACTTCCGATGAAATAAAATCAGACAGTTTTATTCAAAAGGCGTAAAAGTCATTATAGAATTTTAATGCTGTCTAATGCCCCACTGTCTCTTCATTATGATTTCAAGAAGATGCTCTGATGATAATAACTGATGCGAGTACCTTTACGAACACCTGCATATGCATGTTTGTTTGAACATCCCTTCTTGTGTGAAATGACTTCACCAGTGTTGAGATGTGCCAGTAGTATTGTGGTGTCTCTTTAAAGGAAGGGGGAGTGTAGAAGAGGGACAGAGCAAAGAGATGAATAGAAGGCACCAGAACCACCTACCATGACCAAGTGCGCTGTAAATGTAGGACAGAAATTCGAGTGGAATACAAACGGATCGTCGGGCGACATATTCGAGGGAAAACCATGTTTGGATGTGCCTTATCTGATTCAAAGCATTTCAAATATGGCACTACATGCGACCACAGGAACGCAGGGAAACTATATTTCCTCCCAAACATCTCTGGCATTGTGAAACGGAAAAGAAGAGTGGCTGTAAAAGACATCTCTGTGCCGTCTTTCTCCGATTATCATCAATGGTAGGCATTGCATAATTCACCCGTATCCACCGGAGCCATTCGGTTCCTCCTCTTTGGAAAGAGGGGGACGCCAGAAAAAAAAAGAAAAAAAAAGAGCGACTTCATCTAGTGGCTGCCTTCTCGGTGCTGCCTGCAATTGTTTGGCAATGCCCTTTTCTCTCTTAGCAAGGACTTGCAGCCAGTAGCGGGGGAACAAGCAGGGGAAGGATGCATTTAAGGCTGGATTTGTGCTGCATTCAGGGCGATTCGGCAGTAATAGCGGCTCTAGCAGAAACAGCGAGTGCGGAGGGCCTGGGAAGTACCCAGCCCCACTATCTCCCCCTTTTCCTCCCTCCCTGCAGGACCATGCTTGCGTGAGGGATGAGGCTGTGCACAGGGACACCAGGCCAGAGCTGCGGCCTACTTCTCGCAAGAGCCGGTCTCTCGACTGCAAGATCTGTGAACACATTGCCACCATCAAATCAGCATCTTTGGTACGCAACTCCCTCTCACCGCCGTTTGCGTAGAGCAAATAATACTGACAATAATAACAATAAAAATACGAGTGTGTTTGCGCGTGCGTGTGTGCGCTAGCTTGTGTGTGCGTGCTTGGCGGCGCGAGGATGAGGAGGGAGGGAAGGGATGTCTGTGTTCTCAGCTGTACATCTGTAGTCATGGCAACCAGATCCTGTTAATGGATGTCATTTTTTCCATCCTCAGCTTCCCTCTCTGCCCCTGCTTTGAAGTGTGTGTATTGCGTTTATGTGTAATCCATGTAAATGACCGTTTGATGTCTTTTACCAGTGAGATTTAGTTTATTTGCTTTTTTTTTTCTCGCTGATTGTAAAAGGTTGAATTTTCTCTCAGTCATCTTAGATTGTTGTGCTGATTCCTGAATAGTGGCATCTTACAAATTTCGGATGATTAAACAAACAAACAAAAAGATGTTGTTATGGATTTTTACTGATCTGGCTTCTGATTGCTTTTTAGTTTGCAGTTTGTATTTTCTGTACGATGTGTGGCTTCATGTTTCTGGCTGCTCGATTTCTTTCACTTCCTGCTTCCCATATTCTTCCATGTAGGGCATCAGGTAGATCGAGGAGCATGAGCAGGACTTTGAGCTGCGGGTGCAGATGTCTGGGTATAAGCGCATGCGGCGACAGCACCAGAAGCAGCTGATCGCCCTGGAGAACAGGCTAAAGGCCGAGATGGATGAGCATAGGCTCCGGCTGCAGAAGGAATTGGAGACACATGCGAACAACACTTACATTGAGCTGGAAAGACTGGCCAAACGCCATGTTGCTCAAACAGACAAAGAGGTACAGCCTCAGCAGCAGGTGTTATTTGTGAATGAGATGAAAACTAAAGAGTGATGTAACTCACTCTGAGCTGCACTTGTGTCTACGTAAGGAAGGGATTCTATAAAAAGGTGATAATCTGATTATTTGAATGTGTCTTCACAGATGAAGTCAGTTGCAGCAGAAGAGAGGAGGATCCAGCAGCAGATTGTTGCTCAGCAAAAGAAAGAGCTGACTTCTTTCTTAGAAAACCAGAAAAAGGAATACAGGCTTTGCAAAGACAAGATCAAGGAAGTAAATATCATCAACAAATAAGTTTCTGAAGTTGCACGCGAAGCATGTGTTCTTTGAGAAAATCTTCGCTTTGTCCAAAGTCCATTCACACGGTTTGTGCTGTGTTGCAGGAGATGGACAATGACCCTTGTATACCCAAGGAGGAAAAGCAGGAGCGTCTGTCGAGGCACAAAGAAACAATGCAGCGCTCTCAGGCTGAGGAGGAAGCTCACCTGCTGGCCCAGCAGAGGCTGGTGTACGATCGCAGCTGCAGGGCTCTGAAACGCCGGAGTCTGCTCAGGAAACATGAGTTTGAACAAGAGCAACTGAGAGAGGTACAGTAATACAATATCCTGATGTTACGTAACATTGTGTGCCACCAAGACTGTGAATGAGAGGGAGGATGGTGTAACAGTGAAGCTGCAGAGAGAAGAGCAGAGGGTAGATGAGTGTAAATGCCTGGGGTCAACCATCCAAAGCAACGGACAGAGAGGTGAAGAAGAGAGTGCAAGCAGGGTGGAGTGGGTGGAGATGAGTGTGAGAGGTGATTTGTGACAGAAGGATAGCAGCGAGAAAGAAAAGGAAGGTTTACAAGATGAAAGCACGACTTGCTGTGATGTATGGTTTGGAAACATTGGAGCTGAAGACGTTAAGATTTTCACTGGGAATGACCAAGATGCACAGGATTAGCAATGAGTACATCAGTGGGAACGCTCAGGTTGAGCAGTTTGGAGACAAAGTTAGAGAGGCAGTCAAGCTTGAGAGGGTTTGGACATCTCAATCTTGCAATGCAGGAAGTGAGGTCTTCCTCTCTTCTTGCAATGCAGGAAGAGAGGAAGACCTCAGAGAAGGTCCACAGAGGAAGTGAAAGAGGACACGCAAAGGGGTGGTGTGACAGAGGAGGATACCAGGGATCGGGTAGGAAGGAAGACGATCCACTCTGACGACCCTTAAAGGGAGCAGCCGAAAGAAGAAGACTATACCACCATGAAACAGCGTTCACAGTCACCCGCTTTTGGGATGATTGTTTCTGTTTTCAGAAGCTTTGTGGACACAACAACTTTTTGTAGCTTGAAGGAAGCAACTAAGAGTTATTTTTACTGTTAGTAATTTCTTGGATAATGTATACTTATTTACATTAATGACAATTATAGATCATAGGATATCATTCATAAAGGGATATCTTCTGGTGCACTCACCAACGGTATAAAAACTCTGAGGCATTAATTTAACAATTAATGATAACAACCAAGAAAAGGTTAAAAAACTCAAAACTCCAGGTGTTGTACAGAGTGCAAGGTTTTTTCTTCCACAGTGGAAAAGGGTTTCCCAGGGAAGTACTGGCATTGTAACTGCATGTCACTTACATAGTTTTCATGTATTTCAGCAAAGAGAAACACATTGAGATAAATAGAAGTTTTAACATTAAATCAAAAATAATAAAAATTAAAAAAGAAAAAGAAGAAAACTTGTATTAAGATATATGACAAATTAATACTGTCTTTCAAAATGGTCCATTTTCGTGTCCCAGGAGCTGAACAAGAAGAGGACCCAGAAGGAGATGGAACATGCCCTGATGATCCGGCAGGATGAGTCCACCCAGGACCTGGAGCGCAGGCAGCTGCAGATGCTCCAGAAGCTGCGCATCGAACTCATGCGGCTGCAGCACCAGACAGAGCTTGAAAACCAGGAGGAGTACAATAACCGTCGGCAAAGGGAACTGCACAGAAAACACACTCTGGAGCAACGACAGCAGCCCAGAAACCTCAAGGTGCCCGAGATTTACTCTTTGCTGCTATTCTGTGTGGTGGAGAGTTTACATCCCATGAACATCTACATAATAACCTGATGAAGTCATGCGTTTACGCTGAAGCTCTGCGAGTGCTGTGCAATGCATTCATAGCATTCAACTTGACTGAAATATTTAGCCTGGTAGTCACCTGTAGAAAACCATTAAACACGTTGCCATGAGAACTGCTTCCTCCAAAACATGCGTGTTCACAAGTTTAAATCTCGTCTCTCTTTATCTAATAGCACAGTGGTCAGAAGCCCACTTATGACAATAAATGTTCAAGGGCGCTGCAAACAAATTATTTATTTATTCATACAACTTTATTTTGTATACTTTGAAAGGGTAGACTGAGCAGTCTTCAGGCTTTGAATCCACAAGCCTAATCATTCAGTTGAGTTATGAACAACCAACTGAACCAGCTTTAAATTTAAATATACCAAGAAAAGAGCACGAGACTAACATTCAATCATTATCTCTGTTGCAGACACTGGAGATGCAGATCAAAAAACAGTTTCAGGACACATGTAAGGTGCAGAATAAGCAGTACAAGGCTCTTAGGAACCATCAGCTAGAGGTGTCTCCCAAAGGTGACCATAAAACCATCCTGAAGGCCCTGAAAGAGGAGCAGACACGCAAGTTGGCCATACTGGCTGAGCAGTACGAGAAGAGCATCAACGAGATGATGGCTTCACAAGCGGTACGCAGCAGTTTGTTATAAACAGTTGAAACGGGGCTCGTTCGTCAACACAAGAGCCTGGAATTTCAACAGCCACACTCGCTGATGTTTGTCGCTAACTCTGTCTCGCCGTGTTTCTAGATGCGATTAGAAGCGGAGCAGGAAACGGAGTGCCAAGCTCTGAAGCAGCAGCTGAAGCAAGAGATGGAACTCCTGGACGCTTACCAGAAAAAAACCAAGTCACAGATGGAGACCCAACATGAGCGCGAGCAGCAGAAACTTGAGCAGAAGGTCTCCATACGGAGAGCGCACCTTGAACAGAAGGTACGTTTAGCATCAAAGCTATTCTAAAATAAATCCAGCATGATACCATATTTTATGAAAATGATGCCAGATAGGTAGGTAGACAGATCTGCGTCCAGAGAGACGATTTATCAGCTGACAACAGCATAACAGTGGCGCTCTAGTTTGTAGTCAAGTGCACCGTGGACATGGTAAATATGCTTATTGTTTTATTCATAATATAGGAAATCCATGCCATGGCAGGGCTCTAATGATGACAGCGTTGTTCTGTTCACCACTTTTGGTTCAAACTGAAAGATCATAAAAAGTAATTTCGTAACATCTTGTGGAGATAATTTGGTGGTTGTTTTGAGTCTTCTTCTAATGACACTGTGAAACTGCCTTTATAGTTTTGAATGAAGTACTGTTTTAGATAGTTAAACCTGGGTCACACATTCCTGCCTCCTCAGGCCAAGGAGGAAATTCTCTGGTTTTTATTTGTCTGATACTTGAAATGACAAAATGCCACACACTGTACATAAATGACGGCATCTGGATTCTCTTTTTTGCAAACTGAAGTTTGTCATTTTGTCTGTTGGTGTTTTACTTTTTTGAAAACAGACAACACAAGTGAGCAGTGAAAAGATAAGAAGACACTACACAGACACATGTATCCCCTCCATTATCATCTATTTTACAATAACTTGGACCATAATTTGTAAAATAAACATCATGCTGAGGTGCAGTCCAGGGTTAGGCTGATAAAACAAAATAAATCCATCAAGTGGGCAGTGATAGAATTATTTTCATGTTTAAGAAAAGAAGTCTTCAGATTACACTTTGCTAAAAAACATCACAAAGAACCTGCACAGTGCTGAAAATCATATAAAACGGATGAAACCAAGATTAACCTTTACCAGAATGATGGGAAGAGAAAAGTGTGGGTGAGTGAGAGAAACAGCTCATGATTCAAAGCAGTCCACATCTTCTGTCACTCATGGTGAAGCCAGTGTTATAATGCGTGCATGTAAGGCTGCGTAGCACTGGGTCACTAATGTTTATTGATGATGTGACTGCTGATAGAAGTAGCAGAAGGAATTCTGAAATGTCCAGGTCTATACCCAGCATGGGACCCAGAGTTTCCAGTTTTTGGACCTTTAAGGACCTTCTTTCGTTTTTCTGTTTGCTTCTTAGATTGCTTAATATCTACATTTTGATTTACAAATACTTCCTTACTTTTATGAATCTTCAATTCTGGGTTCCAATATGTTTTTTGTTCCCCCATTATGCCCTATCTCCTCCTATGCCTTCTTCCCATGTCTAGTTTAATCTAGTTTCGTTTTACTTTTTCATTTCCTATGTGTTTTTTTGTGTGATTTGTTTTGTTTTTCTTTCCTCCTTTGGTCGTGTTGTCTTGATCGTCTACACTGCCTTCAATGGGCAAGTGTTTCACTACCCAACATTTTTCTGATATTAAATATGAACCTGAAGCCAAAAAGACCCATAAAGACCCAGTTTTTCATCAACAGAACAAAAATATGAATTTTAATGGAAATGTAGTAATAGGTTTCTGCAACATCTTTATATACAGTAAACATGTTGAAATTACTGACAACAATTATGATGCAACAGCTGAATTTTTTTGCGGTTGATTCTGATTTCCAGTTTTCCTCCTACTCCTACTTTTTTTCCAATTCAATTTCTTATTAAGAACTATGATTGACGGCATATATGAGGAAAAATAAACTTTTCTTCAGTACAGGATATTGTAATTATAATAAAAGAAATGATTCAATTTTCAATTTTGAATTCAATTCCCCTCAAAGTGCAGTAAGTTACGGGATCTTCACCTTTACATATTTGACCTTACCAAAAAAAAAAAAAAAGCAGATACAGTGGATTTATGTAACAAAACTTACATTATTTTTCACTATGTTTATAACTTAACCATTTACGAGGACGTCAACGTTTTTCTTTTTTTCACTCATGGCAGCTTTGATCCTTTGCTCATACCGAGGCAGCTGGATTCCAAGTTTTGGATAGCTTTAGCTCGTTTGCATAGGCGACATTTAACCAGTGCTTGTTGCATCTCCAACCATAATGCCATTACAGATTAAAAAAAATAGGTAAAATGAATCTAATTCCATTTACCATGCTGTGTTTTCATTGCAGATTGAGGAGGAACTGGCTGCACTTCAGAAGGAACGTACCGAACGGATTAAGCACTTGTTGGAACGTCAGGACAGAGAAATTAATGCTTTTGACACAGAAAGTAGAAGCCTCGGCTTTGGAAGCCTGGGATCTATAGACTTCCCCAAAGAAGACAACAGATGAAAGTGGATTTATCTCTAAAGGACAACATATCCGTGCCCTTTTCACGTCCACTTGACCGTTTGTCCCACCCAGGGTGACAAAACTGGATTACTTTTCATTGCTCTTAGATATTGCATCTTTGAATTGGGGTGTTGCGTGCAATGAGAGCCTCTTTTGTGAAACTTTAAAGGGGGGTGGGGGGGGTGGGGGGGGTAAAACAAAAGAATCTACACAACAACGTGTCAATAAAAGTCAAACCTAGTCAGTGTAACTCAAAAGCCTATGTGTCTGAAATAAAAGACTCTTTCCTCCATGCCATTTTCTCCTTTTGGTATGAATTGAATAAATCAGGAAATTTTAGTAAAATGGGCACTTTGGTATGTTTAAGTAGAAAGCCATCTTGTTCATATGAGGCTTAATGTGTGTTACATGGAGGGACATTGTGGAATGTGAGCTACGGATTCCCCCGTGGTGTTAAGCTGCTTTGTTTCGGTTTTGTTTTGTTTTTTACTAGTTTCATTTTGTTCTCTTTATTTTATTCTCTGAATGTGAATATTACTGTATGGGGTCACTGGATAGTCAGAGTTTTTTTATTTTTTATTTTCCAGTCATACTTCCATTTTGTGCTTATGCATACAGTATACTGTGGACCCTCACTTTTCTAGGCAGTTCTGATCTTTTCTTTCATTTGATATGTAGACTCGATTGGCATAAGCTTGATCAGCCCATTTATCTTATCACAACTCAAGATCCCACTTGGTAAAACTGCTTATTATTGCATGCACTTTAAGGACAAATTCAGGTTGTGAAGTGAAGCATGAATCTGTCAGAGATTTTAGCTGTTTGTAAATAAAAGTGGTCATAGCATTTTTTTAGGCCTATGGATACTGGACATAAGCGCCATATTTGATATGATAATTTTCACAAATGCCTTTATTTAAGTTGTGCCTGAAGCAGATTTTAGTTACGTGTTTGTTATATCTATATTTTACCTACTGAGGCCGGCACCATTTTTGTTTTTGAGTTCATCTAAACTTGTGAATCATTTAATGTTCACTAATCAAAGTTCTTGTAAAGGAAAATGGTGAGAATTGTGCTGTATAATTTTTGATATCAATATTTGTACATGAGAACATAGCTAGAATATACAGAGACACTCGTCTGTTACTGATACCAGAGTCTAATGATAAAGATTTTGCTTCGTTTTCTTTCGTTTTATAATATAGAGAAATGGTCATACAATAGCTCAATATATTGCTAAGTCAAATCACTAGACTTTGAGATTGTAAAGATGGAGGTGAATGGAACCACAGACTTCATATATCAGTATCAGCGACGCCACAACAGCAGACAACAGCATGTGGGTCTGGATTGCATTCTCCTTATTACTGTCTAATGATAAGATTTACATCTTTTTTTGCCATCTTTGTTATGGTCATTGAACAGGTTGCACAATTATTCCATTTCTACTGAATGGAAGGGTAATTGTTTGGTGCTTAATTTCTAATGCCACTTTTAGCCTTGTGGGTTTTGTCTCGGAGAGACGATTGATTTTTACAAAATGTAAAGCATTTTGAACCCCACCCACGCCCCCACTCTGAGTCAAAACACTACTATGTTTTTCAAACACTCATGACATATTTAGAGTACCCCATGCAGTGAAACCCTCTTAAAAGAAAATTAAGTATATGTATGGAAAAATAAATGCTATTTTATCATGGGACAGTTTTTGGAACATTGTTTAATGTGGTGGTCTTGAATGCAACCCTGTTACATTTTTTCTTTTCTTTTCACGTCAGAGCCACAACTTGTATTAATGTTTGGTTATGTTCCTCACAGGGCTGAACGCTAGAAGACGCGCCCCGGGGTACAGCAGACGAACGCGATGGCATTCAGCGTCGGAACGCAATAGCACTTAAATGCTCTTGTTTTACACCTAAATTCTGAATTTGTTTTCTAAGGTCGAACGGCTCCACTAAGATTTACAGTCTTTGACGTTTTCATGAACTTTCTGAAATTTGTCGACAGCATTTCTCATATGCAGTAAGGCCTTTTGTCTTGGTCACGTGTAACTGAAAGCTTTGTGGACACAATTTTTTTAAAAAGTGCTGTTGGGGTGCTTGAATAAGTTTGTTTGTGAGCTGCAAAACAATTACAATTTGTGTGACTTTTATGTTACTAGAAAGATGTATTTAGTTAGAATAAAGGGGACTTTCCTAAAGAACTTTATTCACCATTTCCTGTGCAGTTCAAAGACAAAAATAAAAGAGATTCTGTTGAAAACAAGGACTCTCAATTATCATCCTGCATCTCATGTCAGAGTGCATTTCTTATCATTTGTGGTTAAATTTTCTTGTAAAGCTTTGTCATGTGGTGCAAATCGTCTCACTTTTGCTTTTCTTAGTGCATTATAACCACAGTGACCTACATCAAATCAAATAAAACGCTGTTTATCATAATTTACTGTAGGTTGCAAGCACGCAAACACACATTTGTTAACTTGTGAAAACAGAAAGCTGAAGTTGGAGCAAGAAGTGAGAGAGAAGTTGCACTGCAGAGCGTCCAGGTTCCTCACGTTTCAGGGAAAGCCTGCTTGATTTAGGTAGTGAGTGTGGTTTATTTTTTAGCATGCCTCTACTTTATATGTGAGCAGGAATCTCACTGTAGTTTCCTTGAACTGCCGACATCTGTTGCAGCAGTTGCCAGTCTCGCCGCAACCCCTCTTTAATCCCCTGGGGTAACTGGAAACCCCCTGAAGGTGGCAAAAGAGTGGTTAGATTTTACCTGAAGTAGTGCTGACAGGGATGTGGCGCATTGAGTTCCCCCTCATTTTTCTCAAGTAGTCAGTAGTTCAGCAATAATACATCTAAGGTATTGAAACCAAAATGTGATAATCAACAGAAAACAAAGGGATGGTGCCAGCTCATAATGAGGTTTTTTCACTTTCAGTGAAAAGTTTACCTGTTGCTTTTACCTCAGAGGAGATTGCCACTTTTCTGTCCTGCAGACCTGCAGTCTGACCTGCAGTCTGACCTGCAGTCTGACCTCTGACCTGCAGTCTGACCTGCAGTCTGACCTGCAGTCTGACCTGCAGTCTGACCTCTGACCTGCAGTCTGACCTAAAATGAAACCTAGTGATGCAGATAGTGAGCCAAAAAGACGTCATTGGGTGTCTCCAAGCAGAAGTGTTGGGGGATGACTGTACGATTAGCAACAACAACAAAAACAAAAAAAGCCCAGTTTATGTTATTTTCATATTTTCCCATCCTGCGAGATGTCTAATGTTTACTCATAAATCTCTGGAAGACACGCCACACTAGCATGTCACAGTGAGATCATCCAGTGTTAAAGTCAGCCCATGCAACAGATCGCATGCTTTACCTAAGCAGGCCCAGTCCTTTTACGCACTCAGAAAATTTGTGATTGAGAAATGTGACCTGTTTCCTGTGACCCTGCCGGCTTCCTGTGCAAACACCCGCTTGAAAACATTGTTGCAAAAAGACACGTGGTCTTAGGAGGGGATTTAGGAGTAAGAGATGAAATTCAGGAGAACTATTTACCAAATTTAACAGAAGGTAGAAAAAAAAACCCAATATGAAACAGCTTTCAAAATCCCCCCTCACATTTGTGGTCCAAACAAAAATAACATTTCCTCAGCACCTACCTTAGAATTTGTTGGTTATGTCAGAGTGAACTTTGCCAGGTAGCAGCAGGACACTTTAGTCATGTGGTTTTGTTTTTGAATCATTGGGGTCATGCCTGCGCCAGCGAAGCCACTGAAAGCTAAACACAAACTGAAAGATCCTGAGTAATATCAGACTCCTCCTGCGTGAATGCCTATACATAGAAAATAAGAAACGTTAAGTTTCTTTTCAGATCTATAAAACAAACAAACAAACAAAAAAATTATCAACACCCAGCTTTGCACAGACAGTGATGAGCTCACTTTTACCTCCACGCACCGACAAGTTTCTCACCCTTGCCATTTAAAGAGTGGTAGGAAGCAATTTGGTGAGCATGTGTGAAAAGTGTAGGTTGACCTCAGTCCTGATAGGATTTTCATTCATGTATGACACTGTTTTCTAAATTCTGCAGGTTACTCTTTCAGTTTTCTTGAAATGTATAAATATAAGTGTTTATTTTCCATGCACAAAAAAGGAAGTCCTATTTTAAATGCCACAACCCTATGTCCATACATGTCCTAACGAGCAGACAATGCCCCAACATGCCTATTAAGGGAGCAGGCATTTAGATACATTGCCCACTTTGCTTGTTATAGGCGTAAAAAAAAAAAAATGCACATGTGAACGAAAGGAGGAAATTCTGGGAAATTTGGTTGCCTCACAAGTGTACGTCATTTCCTCCTCTGACAAATGTGCGGTTTCTGTCTTTAAAAAGTTTTAAAGCAGTGTGATTATGACAAGTCCGCACAATTTGCTTGTGATACCGAGAGGAGAATGAATGGTCATGTAAAGAATATGCATTTTCAGCAGTTCATGGAAACAGCAGCAAGTAAGTTTTATAGTTTTTTGTCTCCTTTTTGTGCTTTAAATATAAAGCACTGAACACTTTTGCATCTTTTCTTGCCAATAGGGATGTGGTTATTTTTAGCGATTTACAGCTGTTGTGAAACTAAGAGCAGTTTGTCGTTTTCTGCGTCAGTAAAGGAAATTACAATGCTTATTAGTTTCTTAACATAATGCTACATAAAGTATTGGAAATGGCACCGTAAGCTTTTACTTGCCACATATTTGGTGTACAAAAAAAATAAAAAAATTAATCTCTTTTTTGGTTTTTATGCAAAGATCCCCTTAAACCCACCAATGTGATGAAGGATAACCATAACTGACTAGCTCATTTCTCCTCAGCATTACTGTCTCTCTTGCTGCTTATGACTGTTGATTCAACAAAAACTGTGGCATTAAGCACGAATCAGCAGTGTGGGACTCTCCTGCAGCAGACTTTGAAGATCACAAGAATTGTACACAAGGAATCTGGTGACCTAATCAAGACATATGTGAGTAGACTACAGGCACAAAACTGCTCTACTTTACCAGTATACTGGCAGATATACTTGTGCACTTATAAGCTATGTAGGCTGATTCCTTTCCTTTTTCCCCTTGTTTGCAGAAAGCCGCTCAAGGGGAAATGTCAGAGCTCTTCTGCAAGGTGTCGGTGAACGACATCCCTGATCCCAACATCTCTGGGCT